GAGAAAACAAATCCAGACAATCACATTGGCTGATTTGGAAAGAATTTATTTGCAAATTATGGTGGAAAATAAGTATTTGGTCAATATCAAAAGTTCATCTCAATACTTTGTTATATATCCTTTGTTGGCAATGACAGAGGTCAAATGTTTCCTGTAAGTCTTCACAAGGTTGGCACACACTGTTGCTGGTATGTTGGCCCATTCCTCCATGCAGATCTCCTCTAGAGCAGTGATGTTTTGGGGCTGCTGTCGCTGGGCAACACGGACTTTCAACTCCCTCCAAAGGTTTTCTATGGGGTTGAGATCTGGAGACTGGCTAGGCCACTCCAGGACCTTGAAATGCTTCTTACGAAGCCACTCCTTCGTTGCCCGTGTGGTACGTTTGGGATCATTGTCATGTTGGAAGACCCAGCAACGTTTCATCTTCAATGCCCTTGCTGATGGAAGGAAGTTTGCACTCAAAACCTCACGATACATGGCCCCACTTATTCTGTCCTGTACATGGATCAGTCGTCCTGGTCCCTTTGCGGAGAAACAGCCCCAAAGCATGATGTTGCCACCCCCATGCTTCACAGTAGGCATGGTGTTCTTTGGATGCAACTCAGCATTCTCTCTCCACCAAACACGACGAGTTGTGTTTCTACCAAACAGTTCTATTTTGGTTTCATCTTACTGTATGACATTCTCCCAATCCTCTTCTGGATCATCCAAATGCTCTCTAGCAAACTTCAGACGGGCCCGTACATGTACTGGCTTAAGCAGGGGGACACGTCTGGCACTGCAGGATCTGAGTCCCTGGCGGCGTAGTGTGTTACTGATAGTAGCCTTTGTTACGTTGGTCCCAGCTCTCTGCAGGTCATTCACTAGGTCCCCCCTGAGATTTTTGCTCACCGTTCTTGTGATCACTTTGACCCCACGGGGTGAGATCTTGCGTGGAGCCCCAGATCAAGGGAGATTATCAGTGGTCTTGTATGTCTTCCATTTTCTAATTATTGCTCCCACAGTTGATTTGTTCACACCAAGCTGTTTGCCTATTACAGATTCAGTCTTCCCAGCCTGGTGCAGGTCTACAATTGTGTTTCTGGTGTCCTTCGACAGCTCTTTGGTCTTCACCATAGTGGAGTTTGGAGTGTGACTGTTTGAGGTTGTGGACAGGTGTCTTTTATACTGATAACAAGTTCAAACAGGTGCCATTGATACAGGTAATGAGTGCAGGACAGAGGAGCCTCTTAAAGAAGGTACAGGTCTGTGAGAGCCAGAAATCTTGCTTGTTTGTCGGTGACCAAATACTTATTTTCCACCATAATTTGCAAATAAATTCTTTCCAAATCAGCCAATGTGATTGTCTGGATTTTTTTTCTCATTTTGTCTCTCATAGTTGAGGTCTACCTATGATGCCAATTACAGGCCTCTCTCATCTTTTTAAGTGGGAGAACTTGCACAATTGGTGACTGACTAAATACTTTTTTGCCCCACTGTATGTGGTGAACCCTCACCTTGCAAAACAACCCATTCAGTTTGCTATTGTGCTTTATAATTTTTTTTTTTTTGCACTGCTTTTATTTGTCATTTTTTTATATATATATATATATATATATATATATATATATATATATATATATATACAATCTTTTTCTTTTACACACACATACACACACACATTATAACTACCCTTGGCTTTCCTTTTTTATAAGTGAGCACATACCCTCTAATATCAGCTGCATAGAGAGGGGGGCAGAAACAGCAGTACACTAATCTCCCAAGTGAATGGCTGTGTGTGTGTGTGTGGGCAGGCATGTCAGCACAAGTCTGATTATAGGAGGAGAGCGGGCTGAGAACTGACCATGCTGACCAGCTAGAGAACTGACCATGCTGTGCTCTCATGCCTAGTGCTGTCAACTTTTAATAGGAAAGCAGAGGTACTGTCAGGAACACCAAGGATTTCAAACAAAGGAAGCAACACAAAGAGAAGAGAATACTTTGTAACACAAGTACAACACGTATCAGGGATATGAAATGTTGGGATTACATATTTAATAAATCAGACTAGTCACATAGTGTATAACTATTGCAAAACTGTGCATACCTCAAAAAACATTAGTGCTTTAACAATTAGTTGAATATAAGTTGCACATACACAAAGGGATTGATTTACTAAAATTGGAAAGTGCAAAACCTGGTGCAGCTCTGCATAGAAACCAATCAGCTTCCAGGTTTTAGTGTGAAAGCTTAATTGAACAAGATTAGGTTAGATTTGTTACCATGCGCAGCTGCACCAGATTTTGCACCCTTCAGTTTTAGTAAATCAACCCCAATGGATAGCAATGGAGTTGATTTGCTAAAAGCAAAAAGACTGCACACTCTTCAAGTGCAGCTGCTCCGGAGCTTAATAAATGTGGTAAAGCTTCAATTTACAAGAAATACCCAAACCAATACAAGGAAAATAAAAAAGAGCATTTTTGCTTGCACATAATTGGATGATGGAAGTCAGCAAAGATTCACCTCCTTTATTAAGCTCTGGAGCAACTGCACTTGCAAAGTGCACAGTCTATTTGCCATTACAAAATCAACCCCATTGTGTACATGTCCTTGGTAATAAAAGGCATATACACTCTATAAATAATAGGGGTTGTAAAGAATGTTATAAAACTTGAATCCTGTATCTATTCATTGTAGGAAAAAAAACATATGCGGAGTTGACCAACTCTTTTGTGCACGTATATTAGGACAAATCTCCTTATAGATTTATTTATTTCAGGTACTTATATAGCGCCATCAATTTATGCGGTATATATATATTGTACATTCACATCAGTCCCTAACCCTCAAAGGGTGTACAATCTAAGGTCCCTAACTTACATTCATACATACACATATTAGGGCCAATTTAGACAGGATTCAATTAACCTACCAGCATGTCTTTGGAGTGTGGGAGGAAACCGGAGTACCCGGAGGAAATCCACGCAGGCACAGGGAGAACATGCAAACACGTAGTGCATAGATATGTACACAGCACATTTTTTACATGCATACCAAGTATACAATAACCAGCTTCACTGGGACCTATCTTCATGATTTAATCCTGAATGCTGACAGCACCAGAAGTAAGTCACGGATGTGTCTATATTTAAAGCTCCACCCAAAAGGGGAAGTTCCGCTTTAAGGACTGCTCCCCTGCTCCCCATTAAGGATTGGCACCTTTGGGTGCGGGAGCGGGTACCCAAATTTGACAGGTTCCCACTTCCGGTCCGATCACCTAGACGATTGGAAGCAGAAGGTGTCCTCCCTCCCTCCCTGTAGTCTTTTGGGACACGTGACAGGTCCCAGAAGACTACAGGACCATTCATGAAGCGCAGCGTTAATCTCGCGCATGCACAGTGGGTACCCAGCAGTGAAGCCGCAAGCTGTCACAGCCGGGTGCCCACACTGAAGATGCCGGCCTGCTGGAATACAGGACGGCCGGTGAAACGGGCTGTAGGGGACACACTGTGGGATCGAGGGACGGGTAAGTGGCTGTTTTTTAAAAGTCAGCAGCTACAGTTTTTGTAGCTGCTGACTTTTATTTTTTGACAGGGTTAGTGGAACTCTGCTTTAAGCTGACAGTCAGTATCTCATGGGTACACATATTGCTGAGACTAATGGATTCTGTACCACACAATAATTGCATATTAACTGTACAAGAACACAGGTGCTCATTTATATTCAGCCCTGATAATGAAACCACCTAAGGTTATTAAGTACAATTCCGATCTACGCATTGTTGAGGAAAAACAAATCAATACATTTAGGAGATGGAAGGGAAAGTTCGGAAGAGGATTTTTGTAGTGTTGTGCTTCTTTTTTTCCACAAGATGTCAGCACCACCAAACATAGCTACTAGTTCAATAATGTTTCTGTTTCCTATGGATCCACTGCAGAACTTCACAATTTGTAGATCGTGTTGCCACAGTACCTAAGGTATTGGTGCAATATCCATACCAGTAAAATTGGCCATCATATTATTCTATTAGCTTTTTTTAATTTGCTGCTTAGATGTACATTATTGTTATAAAGTTTTTTTTAAAGTGGAACTTCACCCTCTCAGTAAACATTGACTATTTTTAATCTTTATGCTTCTTGCCTTGGTAAATATATAGGAAGGTATCATATTTACTTCTGTTAAACTTTTTTTTTTTTTTTTTTACATTTCCTCCTACTTGGTTTCCAGGCCTAGGCAAATGATGTCATACATCTCAGGAGTCTTTAGAAAGGGTTTTCTCAGCTAAGCGCACCTCCCTGCCTGAGCTAAGAGCAGATGGATTCCAGGAAGTAGAGGCTACATGAGTGTTCTGCCCTTACTCAAGATGGCCATGACCAAAAATGCTAAGGGTTTTTTTTTTTTTTAAAGTGATTTCTAAGCAAAATAAAGCATGGTGACATGAATGGATGGCTGAGTTTGCTTTGAGTCTTAACCCCTTTGCGCCAGTGCCTCCAGGCCCTTTAACCGGGGTTCTAGATGCAAAGGTTTGTGATCATGTGACTGTCATGATTGGCTGGCACACCAGTCACATGAATGGAAAGCTCCCAATGAAAAGTAGAGATCGGGAGTTTTCCGTTAGCAGCCAAGAACTGCGCTCTTGGCAGTTTTTTGTTTTTTTTTGGGGGGGGGGGAGAGTATGCATATATGCGGCCTCTCAGTGTTAAGACCCACAGAGAGGCTGAAAATATGCGCGCAGCCAGTGGGAAGGAGTTAAAAATTAATTTTATTACAGGTTCTTATATAGTGCTGTCAATTTATGCAGCACTTTACATACCGTATTTTTCGCCGTATAAGACGCACTTTTTCTTCCCCAAAACTGGGGGGGAAATGTCAGTGCGTCTTATAAGGCGAATATGGAGCGGCCGGTCCGGTATTTCCACCGCGGCCGTGTCAGAATACCGGGCCGGCCGCTCAGCTCTGCAGCGGGACCTTACCTGTTCCTCTATCCAGCGGCGTGCTGTCTTCCCGGCTTCTGTAGTGTGGGCACTGGGCATGACAGCCGGGTGCCCAGTGCGCATGCGCGAGAAGCGGTGCGCTTTGTGAATGGTAAGGCGGTACCTGGGACACATGACAGATCCCAGAAGCCACCGGACCAATCACAAAGCGCAAGTGCTTCTTGCTCATGCGCACTGGGCACCCGGCTGTCATGCCGAGCGCCATTACAGAAGCCGGGAAGACAGCACGCGGCTGGATCGAGGAACAGGTAAGATAAGAAAAAAACTCTGCGGAAGTAAGAGCGGGTACCTGTCAAATTCAGGTACCCGCTCCCCACCTCCCCAAAGGTCAGCAGTCATCTGTGCTGTCCGCAGTCTCTGGTCATCCCTGTGCTGTCCGCAGTCTCTGGTCATCCCCTGTACTGTCCGCAGTCTCTGGTCATCCCTGTGCTGTCCACAGTCTCTGGTCATCTCCTGTACTGTCCGCAGTCTCTGGTCATCTCCTGTACTGTCCGCAGTCTCTGGTCATCCCTGTGCTGTCCGCAGTCTCTGGTCATCCCTGTGTCTGTCCGCAGTCTCTGGTCATCTCCTGTACTGTGTCTGCAGTCCATTAGTTCAAAATTTATTTTTTTCCTGTTTTCTGCCTCTAAAACCTAGGTGCGTCTTATGGTCAGGTGCGTCTTATACGGCGAAAAATACGGTATATATTGTACATTCACATCTGTCCCTAATCATCCAGGGGTGTACAATCTAAGGTCCCTAACGTATATTCATGCATACACATACTAGGGCCAATTTAGACAGGATCCAATTAACCTACCAGAATATCTATGGGGTGTGGGAGGAAACTGGAGTTCCCAGAGGAAACCCACGCAGGTATAGGGAACATGCAAACTCCAGGCAGGTGGTGCCCTGGCTGGGATTTGAACCAACAACCCTAGTACTGCCAGGCAGACATGCTAACCATTTAGCCACTGTGCAGCCCTTATTAAATAGCATTTTTGGTTTGTTGTGCTCAGATGCAGTGAAGTTTTGCTTTAACATGTTATGTTAATATAGAGTCTGGTAAAATATTGAAACTCTCGTGGTGCACACAGTTACCATCTGCTTGGAGGAATTTGGCAAAATCACTCTTGAATAGTGACCGAAGTGCTACATACCCGGAAAGACTCAGTTATTACCATGAAAGTTGATTAAACATAATATTTAAAGATTTTGGAGTTAAATATTTATATATATTAAAAAGAAAGGCAAAAAAACATGCCTATCCACAATACCTGGTGTTACACTACACAGTGTGAACGGGTCTAACAACTTTTCTTCCTAAAGCAGCTACAACCGAAGTAGAAAAGTGAGTACTCTGACAGTTGGTTGGCAATATTCTGAGGTTTTGGACTTTTGGAACAACTGCATGTAGACAACCTTGTTTTAAACACCCCATGTTGATTTTCCTGACATGCAGTTACATTCCTGAAGTGCATCCTTATTAGCCATAAATATAATCAGACAAGCTTGAGTTTAAGATCAGCAGTGGCTTTCCTAAATTTTCTATTTCCAAGTTTGGCCCAGATGTTATCCAGGAAGTGGAAACAAGATACAGATGTAGTTTTCTTTTCAGCTTTTGGCGTACCTTTGAACTGACTGAAACATTTTCAACATTGTCTTTCCTTTTCATCCTCATGTGTCTTCGATTTCTTGCTGGACGAGGTTCCAAACCAAGTGTCACATGTAAAAGGCAGACCCCAGACCCTTCTACAAACATTGTATAGGTGTGTTACAGTATTCAAACAAGATATGTTTGTTCAGTTCTAAACGTAAAAGTGTGTAGTCAATTTAAAACATTGGAAGGTCTTACAGAATGTGAAAATTCTAAGGAACGTTTTTTAGGCTTTACAAGTAGATTAAAGGAATTCCTTTCCCTCAGTTCAATGCCACAACAAAGGCTTCTAAGGTTTACACAGCATATAGAAAATGATGGTGTTAGGCCTCTCCAGTCCACCTCACACTGTAGTAAGCCTTTTCAGGCAAAAAGGGAGTGCCATGTGTGTCATTCATTCAGTGAGATTGTAAGGAAATAGGTCTTATTAACTGGCATCCATTTTGTATAATGCCTCCATTTCTAGATGTGTGAACAGTTAGTTTTAGATTTTGTAACTTCTCTCTCGTTTCATTTCTCTAAAAGGAACTACCTTTTATGGTATCCCTCAACTATTTGCAGCTCCTGTTATTCACTTAACTATATTGATAAGAATGGAATGTTTCATTGGTCATCCTGAGATTAAGCAATGCCTACTGAGTTCTGTATAACAGTTGTCATGCATTAAACTTTCAGAGATTTCGCTTGCACACTTCGGTGTCGGAGCTTTATTTCTCCCAGGCCTGGTGGTGAAAATAACAAAGGACAAGGGGGCTACAGAGGTTGAATCCTTGCAGAGATGATTAGACACTCATGTAAAACAGTAAATGCTTCACATAAAAATGGTGGACTTTTTTCAATATGCTTGAACACACTTTTAATTTGTTTGTGGGTTTCTGTGCATGTTCTGCCGCTTTTAAATCCCCCACCTGTCAATGGGGTTAAAATCAGGGCCAAGCCACAACCCTTCCTTTCTTCTCGAGCCATTTCTTGGTGGATTTGCTAGTATGCTTCAAATCATCATTTCCAAAGATCCTTTGGTAGTTCAACTTTGAGACAGCCTCACATTTTTATCAGCTGCCCAGGCCATAAAGCAGCAAAGCATCCCCAAACCATAATACTTCCACCAGCTTTACAGCTGGTATGGTTGTAGGAGAACCAAGACAATTGTCTTGTGCAGTGAAAACAAAATCCAAGTTCCTTAAATTATAAAATTGAGTATTTAAACATAAAGGCACATACAAATGATAAAAGAACAAAGATTAGTTTAAAGTGATATTAAAGCTTATTGCTCTTTTATAATAACAAATGTCATACTTGCCTGCTCTGTGCAGTGGTTTTGCAAAGCAGCCCCGATCCTCTTCTTCTCGGGTCCCCCCAGGAGTGCTCCTGGCTCCTCCCCCCTTGACTAGTGCCCCCACTAGCAAGCTGTTATTCTCAATCCCAAGCCCTACTCTATGGATCCATAAAACACATAGAGCCGAGACTCGGCCCCGTTCCCCACTCTCTCCTCACTGGCTGTGATTGACAGCAGTGGAATCCAATGGCTCCTGATATTGTGTCTCAGCCAATGAGGAGAGAGAGACCAGGGACAGCCAAGACTCCCAGGCTGGATTGAGATATGGCTCAGGTGAATATTAGGGGGGTTGGGGGGGAGCAGCACACAAGGTGGGTGTTTTTTTTACCTTCATACACGTAATGCATGAAGGTAAAAAAACATTCAGCTTTTACAACCCCTTTAAGAGCATCAGTGAGAAGAGCCAATAACATCCATATGGTCAAAGCGACAAAATTCCAATATAAACGTTCTCAACTTAACCCCTTGATGCCGATCGCACGCAAACATGTGGCCTCTAGGTGTATATTTGCGTGCAACTAAAAAATACATATGTGCTGAGAGCGCACGCCCTGCGTGCTTCCAGCACATATGTCCGCTATTCCCGGAAAGTTCCCGACCTCCCCTTTCGATCGCGAATCACGGCAGTCACATGATCCTAAAACCAACCCCCTGACTTCAGAAACTCTTAAAGGGCCGGGAGGCGCCGAGAGGTTAAACCACATTTTTGGATCATCATTAAACTGCGAAGGAGTAAATTAAAAAATGCAATTGTGACTCAGCCCCCTTAATTCCTTACTCTACGGTAATGACAAAGCAGGAGAAAGCAGAAAAGTGTAGAGGGAAACAAAGAGGAGAAGGTAACAGTAGGGAGGGTACCCACGTGGAAGCTGGACCATTATCCCCTTAATTAACTGTGGAAACAAAGTATAAAAAGTCAGAGGAAGTACTGAAAGCGGTAGCAAACTCAAAATAAAAAATGTAATATAATGCAGCTTACAAATTATTAGATATCACAGCTGCATTACATTTCTTTTCTTAGGCTTTTTCCCTCAGTTTTCACCTGATGATCTGGCCAGTAACATACCTCCTGTATTAGATAGCCATAGATACACAATTCAAATTTTGTTCAAAAATGTTTGTTTTCTAAGAGTTAGTGGAATCAAACCCAAGATAGTTTTCAACTGTAGTGATGAGAAAATTCAAAGAAGCAGGATAAAAACTTTTGCTTGAACAAACTTCTAACCGTGCATGTGGTTTTCGTTCAGGAAATTTTATTCATACAAAAATCTAAATTAAAAGTTGTTGGAAGACATTCATCAAGTCTCTGTTGGCATTGCATATTTTGCAGAAAATTTACTAGTGTATGGCCAACTTTAGTTTTTCTTCCTCTGTGATCAATTTTGTTTGAGAAACCAAATGTAAAAATTACCACAACTGCTTCTCTGTCAGGTTGAAAATGGTCCACTCTAAGGGCCAGCTCAACCTACATGCATTTCAGTGTGCTTTTCTGCATCCAAAACGCACAGAAAGATTATATGGTTGTCAATGTCATAGTTCACATCAGTGTTTGGACTGTCAGTTTCCATCCGACTGTCATCCAATCCACCAGACGGATGGGGAACGGATTCCCATCCATCTGTTTTTAGCAGACAGGATTGGATCGGCTGCAGGTGGGTGTAAACGGACACATGTCCATTGACACCTGCTGCTCCAGAGAGCAAAGGAGCATCTGATCAGGTCCACATGATAAATGGACAGGCGGAGTCAGTCCACTCATGTGAAAGGGGACTTCTTACTAGACTCGCAGGCTGCAATGACGACGTCATCAGCAGCTGGCTTATTCTTACAGGGCCAGAACTTTGAGAAAAGAAAAAAAAAAAATGGGTTTTTGCCATTCATTCTTTGTTTTCGCTAGAGAGCTTGGCCTCCACAAGCTGTACGGGATGACGACACATCCAAAAAGCCTCTCTATGCGCTTCGTCAGATCAACATCTTCAGGGAATGATAAACTGCATAGGGAGAAGCTCTTTGGATGTGATGTCATCCCATACAGCTTATGCCCACTAGCAGTCTGTGTACTGCGGCTGGAGTTGGCACAGCTTAAAACTGAATGCGGTTTGCTCCTTAGTGGCAGGAATGACACTTGTTTGATGCAAGTGCAATTTATGTTGAGTTTTTAAAAATTAAGGTTTTATGTAATGGAGCCATTTTTAGTTCTTTACTTTCCACCTGTTATTACCTGAGAGTTAATGAGAATCTGAGATGAGATCGAAGATCCAGTGTATGGTGGAAGAAAGCTAATCCTGTGAAGTAGTATGGTTCTATACAAGAGTTGCCTTATCATTACCTTTGGCGAGCTATCAGTTTGGAAGGTAGTGGACACCCAGGGGTATGCGCACACTTTGGATCAAGATTGGATTTTACATATCAAGTTTTGTGTAAACACTGAACACTTTCCCGTATGGACGTTTTATGCACTAGACACTTTAATGGGTACCGTATTTTTTCGCCGTATAAGACGCACCTGACCATAAGACGCACCTAGGTTTTAGAGGCAGAAAACAGGAAAAAAAAAATTCTGAACTAATGGACTGCAGACACAGCACAGGAGATGACCAGAGACTGCGGACAGCACAGGGATGACCAGAGACTGCGGACCAGCACAGGGATGACCAGAGACTGCGGACAGCACAGGGATGACCAGAGACTGCGGACAGCACAGGGATGACCAGAGACTGCGGACAGCACAGGGATGACCAGAGACTGCGGACAGCACAGGGATGACCAGAGACTGCGGACAGCACAGGGATGACAGGACTGCGGACAGCACAGGGATGACCAGAGACTGCGGACAGCACAGGGATGACCAGAGACTGCGGACAGCACAGGGATGACCAGAGACTGCGGACAGCACAGGGATGACCAGAGACTGCGGACAGCACAGGGATGACCAGAGACTGCGGACAGCACAGGGATGACCAGAGACTGCGGACAGCACAGGGATGACCAGAGACTGCGGACAGCACAGGGATGACCAGAGACTGCGGACAGCACAGATGACTGCTGACCTTTGGGGAGGTGGGGAGCGGGTAACTGAATTTGACAGGTACCCGCTCTTACTTCCGCAGGGTTTTTGTTTGATCTTACCTGTTCCTTGATCCAGCTGCGCGCTGTCTTCCCGGCTTCTGTAATGGCGCTCGGCCTGACAGCCGGGTGCCCAGTGCGCATGAGCGAGAAGCACTTGCGCTTTGTGATTGGTCCGGCGGCTTCTGGGATCTGTCATGTGTCTCAGGTACCACCTTACCATTCACAAAAAGCACCGCTTCTTGCGCATGCGCACTTGGCACCCGGCTGTCATGCCCAGTGCCCACACTACAGAAGACAGCACGCCGCTGGATAGAGGAACAGGTAAGGTCCCGCTGCAGAGCTGAGCGTCCGGCCCGGTATTCTGACACGGCCACGGTGGAAATACCGGACTGGCCGCTCCATATTCGCTCCATAAGACGCGCTGACATTTCCCCCCCAGTTTTGGGGAAGAAAAAGTGCGTCTTATACGGCGAAAAATACCGGTATATGGAGTTTGATAAATATCACATGGTGTTTTTATGATATTTATGCATGCCACATAAGAATTGAGTGCATAAGGTTTATTTTGTTTGCATCACATTTGTATTAAACACAGAGGGACTGATAGCACTGACACACACACACTTATAAAATATTCAGCCAGACACGTTTCCTAATCACTTGCATTACTTTTTTCCAAGACAAGAAAAACTGACAAGATTACACCGTATGATTTAGTTTGATCTAAAACCTGTTTGTCAATTTAGTAGATAACTAGTGCTGGAAAGAACTGTCAAACTTACATAACTTCTCAAGCAGAGGTTTTTTCACCACAATAAAAAAAAAAACAAACTGGGCTAGAGTCTTACAATGTCAAACATTTTTTAAAGTTGTTAACACCAGTTGTATCAATGTGCTAGAAATCTGTCTTGTAATACTCTGTATTTTAGATGACACAGCAGGCCAATTTTAAGATATGTCCTGGTCATTTATTGCCCAGATCTTGTACATCAGAAGTTGAAAGTATGGCATGTGCTGTACCTAATTCAATTGTTATTGGAGCACTTGAGGATGTCTGACCTACAGTTAAAAATCACCGACGTTTTGTTGGCGGTTGAGATGTACATTCTGGAAATACAGTTGGAAGGGCATCCTTTTTCAAATAGGTCTGTGACCCTCTCAGTTCATAAGAATCACGAATGAAGTGAAGGGAACACACTCTAAAAGTTCCTCGAGGGCCATTGACAATTCTTTCTGCCAGGCGTTCCAAGTCCCCAAAGTCTTGCTTCATTTGCTGAAGCCACTGCTTTACAAGTTCTTTTTCTGTTGGAAATACATGAAGTATCAAATCATCAGTCTTGTTCCTGGATGTAGTTGAACATCCTCTGACCATACATACTGGCATCCTGGGGGAGAGGAGCATATAGATTACAGCATCTGAAAACATTGCAGAGAAGTGAACATGTTAAATAAGTTTCTCTCTCTTTTTTTTTTTTTTACAGATAAGTACTCACTTCAGATGTTTTTTGCGGAGTTATTCAGGACTTGGATCGTTCTTCAAATGTTCACTCCAGCTGCACAAGCTGAGAAAAAAAAAACAGTGTTACTGGCCAAGCTATTTTTATTCTTGATGGTCTTGATTGCATGCTAGTTTTTAAATTAAAAGAGAGCTAAGCTATTATGGACAGGTTGTATAATTATTAATTTTTAATAAATCCAACATCACTGCACTGTATATGAAATATTCAATACTGTATGGTTTTCGTGTTAGTGCTTCTTCATATGCCTAAGAGTTCCTTCTTAGCCGTTTACAAAAAAAACAGATGACAGACGTTATGGAGAACCTGCGCTTGGGCCTATAGCGTATTTTCCCGAACATGTCACTAAAGCGATTGCGATAAAGCATTGCCGTTCACCCGAGCACAGCGGCATACAGCCATTCACTTCTGTCACAGGCTCTCCAGCTGCAGGAAAATGCAGATTTTTCTGCTAGGCATATTTTATGCATATATACTGTATATGTCCACATGCACAAGGCCTTAATAAAATCTGATTGACCTGACAATTATTTTTTATAAATCTGCAAAGTCACATTGTGGATGGCTCCTAAGTCTTTGAAGCAGACTCCTAGCTTTTGGAAAACCTTTCTAGGCCAGTGTATTTAATATTAATAAATATAAAATGTTGAAATTGTTTTTTTTCCTCTACTACAGAGAGTTAAACATTATCAAAGGGTTAATTTGATAAAGTCAGGTGACGAAACACGTGTCAGAGTCGGGCCACATGATGTACTCTGGAATGAGACATCCACCTAACATCCCCCGCCAGAAGTGACTTATTGCTTGTGAGCAGCGAGGAGGATTGAGCGAGAGGCTCGCTCCATGTGATATGCAGATACCCTTTACGGTTATTGTGGATGTTTTGGCATACTTTCATTTATTTTATGTGAGTGCAATATTCTCTATCCAATAAATGGTTTTTAATGGATTCACACTATAAGTTTCCTTTCACATCTTTCCCTGATTACGGAGTGTAATAGTTTGGAGGATGTCCCGCCATCATATCAGTCTCTAATTGATGAAGGGCTTGTTGATTAATGATCTGTACTACGTCGACACTCACCACAAGCGCTATTGCCTGTCAGGTTTGGATGGGCCACAAAATATGGTGAGTGCCACTGAATTGGGGGAGGTTTTCCTCTAGAGCACGTGGTGATATCTGAGTGCAATTTATTCAGTTATTGTTATGTTGTTCACGTGGTGATCTCGGTGGATCAATAAGGACTTTGTACTTCATCACAATTTTCATTTTTCAGTTGGATTTGTCAAATGATATAAATATTTGTGTATATATTATTTGAAGTGTCATATTTTGTATCATATTCCCACTTCGTGATGTGTTTCACATTTTTTTTTTTTGCGCTGCTTTTATTTGTCATTGTTAAAAATGATTACCTGTTACTACTGCCCACAGACACTGCTAACCAATATTCAGAGATATATTTCTCTAATAGGTTGCTAGATGAAGTATGCCTACAATTCTTAAACTTGCCCTCAAGTCTCACCGACAGTGCATGTTTTGTTCATCTCCAGACAAATGCACAGGGAAATCTGGCGACTTAGTTAAATCGGTGATTATCCTGCAAATGTCCCTGAGAGAAAATTGCGAAACAAGCACAGATGGTAAGGTTGTAGAAAGGGTTAGAGAACTTATGCAACGTCTCATTCAATACTGCAGCCCATTAAAGTCTGGGTGAAAGGGCTTTGGCTCTGTGATTAACTGCAGGAGGGAGTGCCTGATGTCAGCTGCATCATGATGGGTGTACGGTCTGAGATTTTACTTAATACACAGTCTCCTCTCTATAAATATGCAGAGAATTCTTTGACTGACATGGTAGTCTGCGGGACAGCAATAAAAAAAAAAAAAAAGTAGGTGGCAGGAGAAGGAGTAGTGTATACAGACAGGCTCCCTCACTTGCTGCCACTAAATGTCATTACCGGTTTTTTTAAATGCAATTGCCAGCTTTTTTTCTTCACTTTATATAGCTCCAAGGAGCTGTCATTGGCCCCACCACTAAAGTAAATAAAGGAGAACCCGCCCCTTTGTTTACTTTAGCAGCTAGGCGAATGACAGCTCCCTCTCAGAGCTATAAAAGTGCAGAAAAAAAGCTGGCAATTGCATTTAAACACCAGCAATGACATTTTGCTGCAGCAAGTGAGGGAGCCTGTCTGTATACACTGCTCCCTCACTGTATACACTGCTCTTCTGCCACCTCCTTGCACACACTAATGCTGATAGTTCAAAAGGCAAAATAAGATTTGGCTGGATCCAGAACCTTTAGAAGTCAGCTCTGTAACCAACACATCACTTGGGAGTAGAGGAGTTTGGATTTCATCCTTAACACTGCCCAACCCAAAACGTTTTTCATCCCCAAGACAAACTACTGACACTCCCAGACTGACTCTACAGTTCAGGAGCAGTTTCTGCATTACAGATCTAAGCCTGATGGTGGCCTCTGAGGTCTGCAACACAATATTCTGTTGTGGGTAAAATTCGTTCAGTATCAAGACAAACTGACGTGTTTGACTCCACAGACCAAGTTTTCTCTGGCCTAAAGGTTCAGGAATCCTGGTTTGGAGTTAGCAAATCCTTCCACTCTATTGGACGAACATCACAATGGAAGCCAACCTGAAAGACTAGGGAGGATTCCTAGACACCTTGTTAGTGCAGAGTAGTTGGTCGACAGAGAAATCTCATCAATCAACATTCAGGACCTCTGATTGATTTGGCTGTCTCTGCAACACTGGACTTCCTGACTGGAAAGTAATTCTTCAAGGGTCAATGCCACAGTAGTGGCATATGTCTAATACTAGGTAGGTACAAGAAATATTATCAAGGCAAGAAAGGATGATTCTAGTCTGGGAAGAATTCTTCACTCCAGCCTTATCTGCTGTTAACATTACAGGTGTAAACATCTGACAACCTGAGCTGGAAGCGTCTGACCTGGGGACATGGTCCCTACATGTTTAAGTGTTTCAGGACCCATGTTACAGCTGCAATATGTGGACCTCCTGTCTTCCAGGTTTAGCAAACTGGACAGGTTTGTCTTCAGATGCAGAGGTACTTTGGTGGAAGCAGTAGATGCTCTGGTATGAGGTTAGTAAAGCATGATCTTTGCCTTTCTTCTAATTAAACCCCTTCCTGTCCGCTATACAGGATCAGGGTGAATGGGAATTCTGATAATTCTCAAAGCTCCAAACGGGCCCAGGTGGATGTGGTACACTGACCTTATCAAACATTTGGCAGACATCTCATGGGCTCTTCCAGATGAACCCTCCCTATTTCAAGGAATGCTTTTCCACACTGTTTCACAGGTGTTACCTTTGTTGAAGTGAAGAGCTTATGAGACAGGGGTCTCTCCAATTTAGTAACTCCCCATGCTATTAAAATATAGCAAGTCTACCTCCCTTAAGGTCTAACATCACATATGGAAGGCTTACTTCACTTGGTACTAAGAAAGGAAATTTCCTCCCAGGAAATGCTCCATGAGAGGAGTCCTAACTTTTGAATCGGGTCTGAATTAGCATTTGGCCTTGAGTACTACAAGTGAGGCAAATGCCAGCTCTTGCAATCTTATTCCAATGATTGTTATCCTTCCATTTATTGTTCAAGACTTTTGCAGAGGGCATTTTATGTGGCCCCTTTTGTTATAACAAACTGCAAAACCATGGGATTTAAATTTAGTTTGTTTTAACTTCAAAGAAAAACTTTTATACCCAATAATGATATTCTTCTTTCCATTCCCACTTACAAGGTTATGTTTCTTTTGGCCATCACCTCTGCCTGGTGTCTAGGCTAGCAGCTT